TCAGGCAATTCTCCTGCCTCAGCCTCCTGAGTAGCTGAGATTACAGGCACGCGCCACCATGCCCAGCTGATATTTTGTATTTTTAGTAGAGACGGGGTTTCACCATGTTGGCCAGGATGGTCTCAATCTCTTGATCTGGTGATCCACCCGCCTCAGCCTCCCAAAGTGCTGGGATTACAGGCTTGAGCCACCGCGCCCAGGGCCGACAGGGTAACTTTTAATGTTACAGCACCTGAGACTCAGTTTTCTCATCTGTTAAATGGAGCTAAAAGCCACTTTGCAATGCTGCTGTGAGTTAATAATGTAACTGTCTGGCACACCAGAAGGGGTGGATAAAAGTTGTTTCCTGGGCTGGGTGCAGTGGCTCATGCCTGAAATTCCAGCACTTTGGGAGGCTGAGGTGGGTGGATTACCTGAGGTCAGTAGTTCGAGACTAGCCTGGCCAACATGGCGAAACCCCATCTCTACTTAAAATACACAAATTTGCTAGGTGTGGTGTTGGGTGCCTGTAATCCCAGCTACTCCAGAGGCTGAGGCAGGAAAATTGCATGAACCCGGGTGTCGGAGGTTGCAGTGAGCTGAGATCTCACCATTGCACTCCAGCCTGAACAACGAGTGAAACTCCCTCTCAAAAAGAAAACACAGGGCTAGGTGCTGTGGCTCATGCCTGTAATCCCAGCACTTTGGGAGGCCAAGGCAGGTGGATCATGAGGTCCACCTGGGAGGTGGAGGTTGCAGTGAGCCAAGATTGCATCACTGGACTCCAGCCTGGTGACAGAGTGAGACTCTGTATTTAAAAAAAAAAAAAAAAAGAATTAATCAATCCTTCCGTGTTGGGCCCCGCCTAGGAGCTGCTGGAAGCTGGGGGATGCTGCCCCAGTGTGGTGATGGGGAATGACCTGGGATTCAACTGCTTCCACTGCTTTAGTGTCAGCTGAGACTGCTGGGCCCAGGACAAAAGACAGGCCCAGAGGCTCCTTAGTGAAAGGCACAGGGGGCACTGCTCCCCCACTGGCCTCAGGAACCTGCTTTCAGAGCAGCAGGCGGGCTCTGGATTTTAGCAATGGACACACTGGTCCGTACACACTGGTACTGGTTAGGGGACCCAGCACCTTAATAGAAGCAGAACTGGACTTTATTGCAGCCACAGGGAAAACTGCTGGGGACAGAGCCATGGCCCCTGACCATGTCCACCGCCCCAGAAACCTGCCCTTGCATGTGGTATCAGGGGCAAACAAATCACAAGTGCACAAATCTCTGATGAGTTTCCCAAATTTGATGAGTGCCAGGTGGGGTGCACATTTAGGAAGATGCCCCAACGTGGCTCTGAAGGCTCTTCCCGGGGCAGGCTGAGCTCAGCTGCCCACTCCTGGAATTCAAACCCCAGGCAAAGGCAGCCGGCCCCAGGCCAGAGAGGTCCTGGCTTCCCAACTTTGAGCTGTGCAGTCATCACGTTGGTGCAGGCTGGGTGACAGGGACAGCAAGATGACAAAGGCCAGGTCCCTGCAGCCTAGGCTGGGGCACAGCTTGGTTCTCAGCCTCACTCCCCGCTGTGCTGTGCTTTGCCTGTCAGACGGCGACGCTGGGCCTTGCTGGTGCGAGCGGCCCTTGGGGGCTTCTTGGAGTCCTGGGCCCTGCGGGGATGTTTCCTCTTGACCTTTTTGCGGCTGTGTGCATGCAGTGCTGCTGTGAGGGAGGAGATCCTGGTGGAGGGTAGAAAGCCTCAGTTTACCTTGGGAACAGGGTGGCAGGTGGAGACTGCGTTAGGGGGTGACTGACCACCCGGCTCATGGAGGGGGTGTCAGGACAGGTCGCAAATGCTGGGACCACTAAATTCATGCCAGAGTTGGCCTGCTCTACCTCCAGAGTGTCCGCCAGCAATTCAGCTTAGAGAGACGGGCCCTTCACCCAGGCGCGAAGGGCACCGGAGGTCAGACATTCTCAGGGGGTGGGTGGAACAGGGAAATGAAGAGAGGCCGAGGATCACTGGCCAGGCAAAGCAGAGGGCTGCTCCGGGCCCTCCACCTGCTGCACACCACCCCTAAGGGCCAGGCCGCTACTGCCAG